GAGAGAGAGAGAGAGAGAGAGAGAGAGAGAGAGAGAGAGAGAGAGAGAGAACAAGTAAATCTCCAAGCTCTCGAGGATCCGCTCGCTGGGGTAGTATGGCGGAAGTTTAGGATAAGCATACGAAGGAAGTTTTGTGTGGCAGTGACTTATGACCTAATTTATCATTGCGAAAGTTGAGGGAGCTAGTAGTTGGGAGGATACGAGCCGACCTGCCCGAACCGCTAGCTGAGTACATGTGTCGGCGACTCCTTATGGTGTGGAAAAAGAATCCTACAGTGGGTCAGTTGCTCCACAACCATCGGATTGCGTCTCAGCAGTTCGTTGGTGTCTACAACTGCGCAGACAGTGCCCTCCCGCGGCGGGAGGGTCACATGCACTGTAAGTTTAGCGAAGTGACGGATGTGCCGGATTTCGTGAGAAACGCCCGTAACGTGGTGTACATGGGAGGAGGAGGGAGGAAGGAGACAGTTGTCCGGGAAGTTAATGACAGTCTGGTAGGACTGGGAGTAAAGTCGGTAATCAAAAAGGGGGAGCTAGCGCAATGTGTGAACGGAAGGATAGTGGTTCAGAATGATCATACCAGTCAGTTCGAAAAAGTTAAGGAACTATGTAAAGGCATGGTCTGTTGCGTTGTGGATCGTAAAAATGCTGACACAACAGTGATGTGCCCGAACGTATATGCTAAAGGAATGAAGGAAGTTTTTTGGGGTAACGACAGTTTTACCGCTGTCTGGGAACAGAAGGAGGAACTGTTACGGAAATGCGAAAAGGATTACAAGCAACATAGCCTGGAAAAACAGGGAAAGTGGGATGGGAAGGGAACGTTTGGCCAAGCCTATATCATGCCTAAACACAAGGACATTGAGAGGTTTCGACCAATTAGTCCATCTTTCAGTGAGCCAACGAAGACGGCAGGCAGGAGGGTAGCCAGAGCTCTAAATCACCTGCTATTTCTGCTACCAAAGACAATGCATTTCAATCTGAAGAGGATCAGGCAGTTGAAGGATAGGGTTGAAGAGGCCAACGAATGCGCTCGAAAGAAGGAAAAAGGAGACTTGGTGGGTGCGGCATTCGATATTAAAGAGATGTTTAGCCAGCTCCCATACCATTCGGTAACCTCCGCGCTGGAATGGATTCTGATATGGTACGAAGGGAAGGGAAGATCAATGGTAAGCATCATAAAAAGGGGGAAAGGAGCAGCTTTTGCGAAAAAGGATGGCAACGATTTTTGGATGCAGATTAATTTTGACCTGATAAGGGAAATGGTGAGTTTTGAACTGAAACATACATATATATTCGCGGCTGGCAGACTGGTTCAGCAGCGGGTTGGTATTCCAATGGGGAAAAGCAGTAGCCCCCCATTGGCATGCATACTGTGCGCCATGAACGAATGTACGTTCTTGTCGAGCTTAGGTGTTGATAGGAGTTTGGTCAAAGGTTGAAGACTAATTGACGACGTAACCATCCTCATCTGGTGTCCGGTAATGAGTGGAGGCGCCCGCCGAGAAAGGATCATGAAGAAGCGGGCAAACCTACGACGCGAATGTGACACTGAAGCAGACTGATCAGGGGGAGGGCACGTGGGATTTTCTGGGAACCAAGATTGAAGTTCATGGAAGAAATCTGACCTGCCAGAATTTCACTAGTAAAAATTTTGACCAAGTGTGGTGTGAAAATGGGATTTTTAGTTATCGCACATTTCAGGACTTTGAGTCGTATTCGACGTTGCGGCAGAAGAAAGTGGTAATTACCTGTACATTTCACAGGATTCGAGGAATGACATCGACCGCAGAATTAGCTAAATTGAGCCTTCTAACTGTGAAAAGACAGTTGCGACTGCAAGGATATCCCCCATGGATGTTCAACAGGTGCTTGGGCAGGTTTACGGTCTATCACTGCCCATGGGGGAAATGGTTCAGAAGACTGGGAGGGTGGTAACTATGGGGAAGCAGGTTTGGGAACCTGTTTCTCCCGCTTGATGGTTTATTTCCTTCTCGCAGAAAATAGGCACGGGAGTATGGTTACATAGCACAAATGTGGTATGTATACAGGGAGGGTTTAAAGAGTCGTAATGGGTGAGTGAAGCAGGGACGGGGTAAAAGAAAGGGGTCTATGACTGTGGGCCTAGCTAAAAGCTTTTACTGAGTCAGATAACGGAGGTTTCCCTAACTGAGTAGTAACACGTTTTTTGAAGCGTAGTAGCGGGGGATTGTGAAGCAGTGAGAACGTGGCAAGCCGACGAACACCTAGAGGACTGAGACTTTGACTAAGCTCACACGTTTTGGATTTCTTGTTTGTCCTTTTGGGTTTTCCTCGGAGTTTATTTATTTGGGTTTCTTGTGGATTTCGTAGGATTTTAGGAGTTTATTCGATCGGGATTCTTAGGGATTTGTAGGATTTCTGTAGGATGTCCGCTCAGAGTGGTTTGTCTTTTCCGATTCGCACAGGACCTGTCAAAAGAGGGGGGGGAAATGAAAAATCAGTAGGGCGGGTGAGGAGTCCCGAACCTGACTGAGAAAATTGGCGAAGGCATCTACAGCGGCGTAAGGGGCACGCCCACGGTCTACGGAGACGTAGTACGATGAAGTGAGTTTTCGAGTAATCTCTGGATGTGACGATCAAGTACTTAGGACATGTAGTTCCTAGGAATTCGACATCTCGAAACTATTCCCCCTGATGAGGTCGCAAACTGGCAGCGACCGAAACTAGTTGGGGATGCCAGCACTCACTTCGCCTGGGCTTTCATTCTTTTTCTGATGAAGTGGAGGGAGGTGACCATAGCCACGACAATGGTGTCATGCACGTTAAATATGATCTTTGGTGAAATATTTCGAGATTGTTTAACACATATGTAGGCCACGTTAGCACGACTATGTGTTCTACGTGTTGGTTACATGTACTGACACTTGTTTTCTGCATCAAGTACCGACATCGACAACCTGCCAGGATTTCCGACCTGCGCTCTGGTGGCCTCATAGCAATAGGGTCTGTCCTGGAGCTGAGTCGGAGACGGAGCCGCGGAACCAAGATATCGTTCAAGCGAAGAGCATAAGAAAAAACGACGAATTCGTAAGCAGTACCCGCAATGGCTAGCGGTGGTGATAACGGAAATGGTGGAGGCAATGGCGGAGGAAGGAATTGGATTAGTGGGAATAATGGGGGCGGGGGTAATAACGGAGGCGGCAACTGGAGCAGCACCAGTGGAGAAGGCGGTGGAGGTAGGAACAACGGCGACAATGAGGGTGGGAATGGAGGCAACTGGGGCGGTGGCAGTGGAGGCGGTGGCTATGGAGGCAACAGTAACGGTGGAGGCGGGAGATGGAATGGTGGAAACGGCAATGGGGGTAACTGGGGGAATGGTAACGGTGGCAATAATTACGGGAATTGGAATGGAGGAAACGGGGGTAACTGGAACGGAAACGGGCGGAATGGTAACGGAGGAGGTTGGAACAACAACGGAGGAGGTTGGAACAACAACGGAGGTGGGAGCAATAGAAACGGAGGCAACGGTGGCGATTGGAGAAGATCAGCAAGGTGCTACAACTGCAATCAGCTCGACCATATCTCCAGAGAGTGTAATGCGCCGCGGCAAGGGAACAATTGGAACAACAACGGACAAAATGGGAATGGTGGCAGCGGATATAACGGCGGTTGGAGACAACCTAATGATGGCGCTAGCAGTTCTTCATCCAACGGGCCAGTTAATGCAAGTGAACTTAGTAGATGTCTGGAGGAGTCAATTCGGGTCGTGTGTCAGTTTTCACAGAGACATATGGAAGTTGAGCAGCGACGGGAGAACGAGACCCGAGAAGCCGATGAACGGCGAAGGAGATAGGAGGAAGAGCGAGTAGCCAGAGAGGAACGGAATAGAATTGAGCTTGAAAAAAAGAACGCACAGGAGAAAAAGGAAGCGGATCGGGAGTGGAAGTTGCAAGTGCTCCTGGCGAAACAGAAAGAAGCAATGAGAGAAGAATTTGAGAAAATGTTCGATAAGAAGTTGCGTAAGGCGATGGTATCGAAAAAAACCGTGAAAGGCAAAGTAATGGCCAATCCGTCAAGCTCGGAGGAGGAGGCGGAGGAAGCCCCGGAGGAGCGCCTGGAGATGAGAAAATGGCAGCCCGTTCGTCAAGTCAGCCCACTGGCGGAGTCGCCTGCTAAGGTGGGGAGAGCTTCCACATCAGCCCCACTCACGCCTGGGGCTATGAAGAGCTCTCCCCGACTTGGAGTGCCCCAGCGTCGGGCCCGTAATGATGGGGTACAAGTCGGGTACCCGTATCAGGAATCCAGCCTGTGGGAAGGAGCGCCAGCTGTGGACGACTACCGAACGACGATGGGCTTGCGAAAGGCTATTCACAAGTTCCTTAGCAAGAAGACAAAACCGACCATAGAGGCGATGTGTAAAGAAGCAGGGGTTGTGTACAGAGGACGACCGGACGCTGTTGATGAGCTAATTAAGCTGAGGGTAATGTACTTCAGCATCGAAACAACTCAACAGCCAGCAGTTACGCCAAGACCGCGTGGTGGTGGCATCATCATTAGGGAAGTTCAAGAAGCGCGCCCCGACGCACGCGGAGCACCAGCGCAAGACCTTGTGAATGAACCAGGGAGTAGTGACCAACCTATGGAGTGAGCTCAGTAATCATTTAGATCTGCGGAAGAAACTGGCAAACGTACCCACTGTAGGGATTAGACGACTGAGAGAGATTCTTGAAAGTGTGCTGAGATGTATAGTAGTGTTGCTCGTCCTAAAAGGGGAGTTACAGTGGGGGGTGAAGTTTTTAGGGAACTGGTTAGACTTGATAGATAGGGATGTCGAGGAGTGGGAAAACCCGGAGTCGTGTGTGTACGTGCTAATCGACCCTAAAGTGAGAGCTCAGTATATCGGTCAAACTAGTCGGGAGTTACTTAAGCGATGGGAGGAACACACGTACAGAGCATACAATCAGGAGGGGTCTTGGCATTCCAAGCTCTATAGTTGGCTCAGAAGACACGGGCATGGTAGTTACGTGGCCCTTCCGATCGCCTTCGTTCCGAAGAACGATCTGGAAAAGGTTGAGAACACCTTTATCAGACAGTGGTGTCCGTCACTAAATGCAAAAGGAAAGCGGAGGAAGGGAGGCCCAAAAAAACGAAAAGGGAGGAAGGAGAGAAGGAAAGCACGGTCACGCTGTCGGTTGCCGGGGTTTTTCAACGTCGGACGCTGTCCGACTTTTTCGTGGAATTGAAGGACTTGACGAGACTGACGTAACCAAAGTTGTTCAGACAGACCTATGACCGCATTGACCGGTAGGCTTAAACTTTTTTTTTTAAGCTAGACGTCGCTGACGTCCGACTGAAATAGTGGTAATCAGTGGTGTGACCACTAATCACGGCATCTGATAGAGCTATGGAATAGTTTGGCCGAGGGACTACTAGGATTGTGCCTACCCTACCTAAGAAGGTGGTGCGTAGCGGTAGGCCGCATGATTCAGGGTCTAAGTGCGTTCAAAGTGGCGACCTTACCGGAGGCCGCGACGAGAGGTGAGTAGGAAGTTATTATTTTTTTTTTTTAGGACCACGGGCGTCCGCACCAAGGGCTGAAATGGATGGCACGGTAGCCACAGGGTGCGGCAAGTGTAGGGCTCGCCAACCAGCCACCCAGCCTGCAGCCACCCAGCGTGCAGCCAGCCAGCCAGCAACCAGCCTGCAGCCAGTCGGCCAGCAATCAGCCAGCAATCAGCCAGCAACCAGCCAGTCGCAGACTGAAGCAGTAGAAGTCCGCTGGCCTGGATGGCAGCCTGCTGGGCCCCGTAACCCTTCATATATGTGGGCTGCTCTCATCCCTATGTGAGATAGGAGGTAGCCCAGTAGGTACAACTACCAAACTTCTACCTGCAGTTTCAGGGATCGAGCCGGCGATAAGCAGTCGGGGCTAGCTCCTTTTCCTTTGGAGCTGCGCACTGCACCAGCATGAAGCACGGTCATTCTCGGCCGCGAGATCATCAAATCTCACGGCCGGGAACGGCCGCCTGGCTGCAGCTTGACCCCTGCGCAAGGATGACATGCATAAATCGAGAAATGGTAAAAAATCCCGATAGGGATTTGAACCTGGGTCTGTACCTCGATGTGCCATAGCGGGCCACGATGGGACGTGACCGTTGGCAAAGCCGACATAAAAAAAAAAAAAAAAAAAAAAAAAAAAAAAAAAAACAAAAAAAAAAAAACAAAAACAAAAACAAAACAAAACAAAACAAAAAAAAAAAACCAACAGTCTTTGCAGACTGTGTGGGAGCACAAAGGCTCCCACTTCGTCCTGGAGATTGCGTGGGAGCACAACGTGGGAGCACAAAGACTCCTACTTCGTTTTGGACAGATGATTGTGGCCGCAAAATCTTGAAATCTTGCGGCCCACAGTTCACACACGGAAAGCAAGAGGGGGTTGGAGTTGAGTGGAGAGTGAGAGAGAGAGAGAAATGAGAGGATCGGGAGAGGAGGACCTGCTCCTCCCGACCTGCCAGCTGCCTCCCCGTTGTTAGGGGGGGTAAGAAGAAAAAAAAAAAGAAAAGAAAAGAAGAAAAAGAAAAGAAAAAGAAAACGAAAAACGGGATCTGAGTTGTTTTTGAGAAGCTGTATTTTTCAGTTTGCGCCACTATTTTTTTGGTGGCGCAAAACAATTGTTTTGACCTTGATTTTTTTTCTGTAGGCGGTCAGGCACCTAGGCCATGTGCATGATTTGTTTTATATTTTTTTATCCAGCTAATATTTTTCTAAAATTCTTCAAAGTCGGGGTACTTTTTGCACCCCGCTCTGAGTCTGTCGGGATTTGAGTTCTTTCCCTACCTCTCCCAATCCGACAATTGTTATCCCTGTTTTCAGGGGAGGGCAGGGGAGAAGAGAGAAAAAGAAGATAAAAGGGAAAAGGGAAAAGCCACGGCCACGAATGTGGCCGCGGCTATGATCAGATACAGGCCAAACTGGCTTGACTGTGACTCAGGCCAGAGGCTGGGGAGATGAAGGGGTAATGAGGGGAACTTGGCTGGAAACAACCATTTTCCCGCTGAACCTGCACTCAGTGTGGGGCTGAGTGCAGGGAAAAGGGAGAAAAAGAGGCGGGCAGTTGAGTACAACTGTCACCCTAAGTGTGTGGCTGAGGTGAGACACCCTCTGTCCGTTGATCTGACTCAAATCAACGGCCCCAGGCAAGTGACGAATTTTGCCTAGGGGCAGCTGAGGCCGCTGCTGCCCTCCTTAGCCACTACAAAAGAGGCAGTTGTCCCCCAGCTACCTCACACTTGCCTCATTGCTGGAGTGCTGGAGAGGAGGCAGGAGTGCTGCCGGCGGAGCTGGAGGACTGCAGAGGAGCGGACTGACGAAGGAGGAGACAGCCATAGCCTTGGCTGGAACACTCTGCTCCACCCCTTGGCAGGCTGGTCTCTGGTGGGACTCTGCGACAGTATGGTGAGGAGCGGCAGCGGAGCTTGGCAAGGAGCAGCGGGGAACAGGACAACTGGTGGAGGTATGCCGACCGATATTTTCGGCAACCATAACCCATTTTTGTGGGGTTATGCTGCCGAAATACCACGGCGTCGGCATGACACCTTTATTTTGAGGGGTGACGCTGCCGTTTTGACGACACGTCGGCGACACTTTGTTTTGAAGAGTGACGCTGCCGTTTTCACCTCACGATAGTATAACGCGGTGAAGCGCTGCCGTTTTTTTTTACGGTGGTACGGCACGGCGAAGCGCTGACGTTTTTTTTGAGGTGGTACGATACGGCGAAGCGCTGCCGTTTTTTTTTACGGTGGTTCACGGCGAGGCACCACCGTCTTTTTTCTACGGTGGTACGGCACGGCGGAGCGCTGGCGTTTTTTTTTTTTTTTTTACAGGGCATAGAGCAATGACGTGCTACCATTTTCCGATGAGAGTTCAGCACGGCAGTAGAAATGCGGCACGACGGTAGGACGTGCGGGGCGGCAGTGGAGGCTTTTTTTTACGGCGCTGAAAGTTTTTTTTGTTTTAGCACGGCGTCTGCTTTTCTTGGTGAAGGTCTGCTACCATTGGTGTGTACGGCAGCAGTAGCATGACATGGTGGCGGTTGACGGCATGCGACAATACGAAATCTGAGCGCGACGGGCGGGTTTATTTTTTTATGCAGCTTATGAAATAAATGTTTTGTAGATGGGACTACCCAACACTAGCAGTATTGAGGGACCACTTGGGACTGGCTGGGATCAATTGGGATCGACGCAGGATGCGGTGAATTTTTTGGGACGAGTGCGGCTCGCCAGCTTCGCACTTAGGACTGCCGCGAGTGAAACTTGCGAGTCGGGAACAGACTGAGACAAACAGTTGGCCCAAGACTTACCTCGGGACTGCGGTTTCTTCGACGACGCGTATATGTCATTTGGCTTTCTTGAGTGAGCCACAACACGTTCGACACCACTTCACTCAAGGTCAGTCAGTGGACGGCTCAGACTCCCTTCACACCTGTGTGCACCCACACATTGCTTGACCCTTTTGCTTTGAATGTTCAGGAGAAAAGGTTGAGTGGGGTTGTGGGCGTCATGCATGAGTGAAAAGGTGGGTCTGACGTGAGTAGTGGGACTTTGCTTGTCTTCTTTTGATCGTGTTGTGTGCGTGGTGTGCAGGCGAGTAAAATGACGAAAATGCTATTTGACAAAATGAAGGAGAGTTTGACCCTTATCTTTTTCTGTACATCAATGAGTTGAGTGAACTTGCTTGTTATTTTTGAAGGATAATCGATGGGTGTCGTGAGAAAATAAATCTTGATGACAGAAAGAGAATCAAAGCATAACGAATTTAACTCTTCCCAAGGAAAACTGTTTTATCTCGAATAACCCTATCTACCTATACATGTCTAAGTGGTTCTCATTCTCTATCACCTTTGACTTTTTTTGTTCAAATTACCTTGAGTTTAGAAAACGAGAACAATTAAAACC